CTCGTGTAGGCACCATAACCAGCTGACGGGCTGAATGTTTGATCGATATCCTTAAAGAAAAACAGCTCATCCCATTAAATATTAGTGAAAATCTTCAGTTTTACAAACAAAATCTCCAAATTTTCCATGCTAAATGACACTGATTGCATAAAACAAGTAGCAGCTCCAAACTCTAAGCACTATTTGAGTTTTAATGACTGCTAGTGACTGTTTGCCTTCTTGCACTCAGCTGTTTCTTTGTCCAACATCATGTTGCAGCACAGGACGTACAAACCGGTCATGCATGACTTCAATAAAACCCAACACCCAGGACGCTGTCATGTAAACATCACAAGGCAGATCCCAGCATGACTCAACATCTCCTCAAACCCAAGCTCAGCTGTGTAATAAACAGGATGTTAGTTCACTTCAGAGGTTTTCCAGGGAATTCCGTGACAGAAGGGATTTATTTAGTTTTAGTCTGTCTGAGCTTGGTGCGTTTAGTTGCATCTAGAGATGACCTTTCACACTTCCGTCCTACAGAGCATCTGTCTGCCGTAGCTAAACATGGCTCTGTGAGGTTTCGGTTTGGCTTGGTTTGGTTTTAGTTGCATACAAAGCACCTCTGTAGCTTCCAGGAATGTTATGTGATAATGATGTCTCTTAAAAAGTTCATGACTGATTTATCTAAAAACTAGATTCTTGAACAGTTGTCTTTCAGGAATGCGTATAGTTTGGGGTTTAAATCCAGGAACAGTTCAATGCTGGTGAAGGCTCTCAGTCATTTGGGTCATGGTAATCCAAAAGGGCTCAAATGAAGGCAAATGTATTTTTTTGGCTTCTTGAAGGTAATTTGCTTCTCATCCGAGGACTGGAATATGGGATGGTCAAGCTTAGCTGGTGGTGGTCGGAGGGACCTGTGGCGCCTGTGCTCAGCAGCCTCGCCTCTTTCAGTGCGCCCCAGGGCAGCTGTGGCTACATTGTAGTTCATCACCACTAGTGTGTGAATGTGTGTGTGAATGGATGAATGATACACTGTAGTGTAAAGCGCTTTAGAGTCCTTACTCTGAGAGGCGCTATACAAGTGCGGGTCATTTATCATTTATAAAAGCTGTCTGTTGTTGAGCTGAAACTAACTATGAACATCCTGCCTCCCTACCCCTGGTGAGATGTTTATGTCATTATGTCCTATTGTGTTAGTATGGGTCTTTTGATTAGATGCAGACATTTTTTATAGTTAGGTTTAGAGCTGCCTGATGCTGCTGACTGCGCTGTGAAGGTGAAACCTGAAGCCTCCTTCTGTTTAATGCAGGTGTTTCCCATCTGACATAGATAGCTGCCATTACTCCTCTCTCATACCATCTATCTTCTCTGTCCAGAAGGTGCACTTTGTCATCTTCTGCACAAAGAAGATGTTTTAGTTTAAAATTGCCTGTTTAGTTTTAGAACTGTGTTAAAAGTGATTTTCCTTTTTGTCTCTTTAAACTTGCAACAAGCAACAAGATCTGAAGCTTTCTGACTTTTCTGATTTAACCTTATTTTAAGAAGAATGACAATGCAGCCTTAGATTATGTCTGATTCTGTTGTTTTATTTATTTATTTATTTTTATCAAAACCTATGCAAGTTAAATAAAACTAGAATTTTTGTCAAGTTTTTTTTTAATCCTGCAGAAAATCTCAAATGCAACTCTGACCAGTATTCCAAAAAGCCAAGCTTCATTTACTGTAAACCGTATTTATTGTTAGTTACACTTGAGAAGAGCTCCGCTTATCTTTCTGGTTTTGTTGCGTTTGTCTTTGGTGTTGCGTCATCAGGCTTGAGAACTGTGCAAAAATGAGGGATGAATAAAATTACCGGAATTACACATTAAACAGAGTAATTGTGATTAAATACAGATTTGTGCCAAATATAAAGTACAGATGCAATATAATCTGATAATTGCACTGATGTATTTTTGAGTTTACATAATCATTTTCTTTACCTTGTCTATAACAGTGAAATAACTGTTTTAAGTTATTGCAAATAGATAAGAAGCTTCATTAATCTTCAGAACTGGTGATCACACTTCACCACCACCACCAAACCCTGATGTTCTGTCTTTGTCTGGATAAATCCGGGTTCATTTATTCAGCTGCACTGATGGGCCGACACTGACAAACACGCCCAGATCTAAACACTAGCAGAGGACCTCCACGTGGACACTCTGGTGTGAGCGTGCAGCAGCCCAGCTGGGACCCTCGCCCTCTCTCCCTAAACAATCGCTCTGGAATTCTCTGTTTAGATCTGAGCTCCTGCATCAGCTTTGCCTGAAGCTCAGAAATGTGCTCTGCTCTTATATGGATGCCGACAGGAGTGGAGGCTGATGGAGAGGAGAGAGAGATGCTGCAGCTCTTGAAGCAGAAGGACGAGGGAAGGGGTAAAGGAGGAGGATGTGGTTACGTGAAGTTTTGGCTTTGAAACATCTTCATACTGCTTCACTTTATGAGCATGTTGTCTACCACTAGGGGGCAGAATAGGAAGGGAGAGCATAGAGAAGAAGTGCTTAGAGGGAGTTAAGATGGATGCTTGGTATTGCTGACGCAGGTTCAAATAAAGCTTTTGCCTCTTTCTGATATGAAGACTAACCACAACAATGGTTACACAGAACAGACAAAAGGACAGCAACAAATGAAATCAACACAATTAATCCTTAGATGTTTTTATTCTGCAGTTTTATTGTGGAGTGATTCATTTTTCAAGAGAATAGTCAGTCCACGCCAGCCATGGCTCTGTGGAAAATGGCACCAACCCCATAAACTCAGTAACCTTAAACAGCCTGCTTAAGGTCAAAGGTCATATTCCCCTTTCCAGCTTCCTTCTGTTATAGAAAGCTGTTCAAGGTCCAGTAGCAGCAAAGTGATCCCATACCATGACACTACCACCACCATGTCTGACTGACGATGTTTGAGTAACAGTTTTACTCCGAATGTAACGGAACTCAGACGTTCCAGAAAATTCCACAGAATGTTTTAGTAAAAGCGTTTGGAATCATCAAGATGACACATCTTTCTTCGGGCCTTTGAACACTCCTGTGACACATAACTCAAGTAAAAGTTAAGTCAAAACAAGACCACGTGAGGCCCGCTACGTTACGTGTTCTGTTTGTCCTGAGTTTCTGTAGAACAAAACACAACGTGTGTCGAACAGGTTCTCTTTATTCTGCAGGTCTGGTGATGATCTGGTCTGGATGTGTCACGAACAGAACTTGGAGGACCCGTGATGACAAACAGTAAGCACTTAAGTCTTTATTAGCCAGGAGCTAAGATGTGGAGGTGTTACTGGGGTAATACTCAGGTAAGGGCAGAGGCGAAGACAGTCGCGGGGCGAAGCCAGATCAGCACTAAGCAGGTACAGGGAGAAGGCTGGAGGCGTGGTCGAAGACAGGTGAGGGTTGTGATGGCAGGCAGAGTCCTAGGCAGGGGTCAGGCGTGAAAACGAGATCCTGAGGCTGTGATCAGACAAGGTGAAAGGTTGGAAGCACTACTGGCATAGAGCATTCAGTAATCTGACAGCAAACTGGTGGCTGGCTGGTGAATATATAGCAGGGGGAGCAGGTGAGTGAGATGAGCTGATGACAGGGTGCAGGTGATGGTAATTAAGTGGCTGAGGGCTTGATTGAGGAGGCAGCAGAGGCAAAGGAGGGTGTCAGCCTGGGAGTCATGACAGGATGAGGCTTTCTAATTAATCTAATGAATCAAAATGACCTCGTTTATTTTGCACACAGAGCCAGGTAGATTGGGATGAACCGTTTTCCCCCAAGAAATAAAATATTAAATTAGAAAACTGAGTTTTTTACTTGGTTGTCGTTGCTTGATGTTGAAGTTTGGTTGCAGATCTGAAACATCTCAGAGTGATAAAATACTTTTGTGAGAGGGCAAATACCTTGTCACAGATCTCTAGTTATTTTTTAATGTACAAATTAAAGTGATTCACTGATTTAATCACTATTCTGTATTTGATTCACCAAAACAACTCATGCATATGCATGGCATATTGTGAGTTTAGTGTGTGTGTGTGTGTGTGTGTGTGTGTGTGTGTGTGTGTGTGTGTGTGTGTGTGTGTGTGTGCGCGCGCGCACCCTGCTAATGATGATGACATATCCAGCAGGATGCATGCTAATAGATTTGAGCTGGTTTGACTTCTCTTCGTTCGGTGGCTCCGGGTCAAGCATGAGGCCCGCTTTAAACCCGTCTGTTGGTTCTGATGGGAACAGCAGGTGCAGAGCAACAATGACAGCCATGCTGCATCTCTCTTGCACTCCCTTACACACACACACACACACACACACACACACACACACACGCATATGCACGTGCACACACATACACACGCACACACACACACACACACACACACACACACACACACACACACACGCACACACACACACGCACACACTCATATATACAAACACACACACACACACACACACACACACACACACACACACACACACACACACACGCACTCGCTTCAAAAACCAAACTGTGGGGAAACCATGCCTGTCTTGCCAGTGTTGGAACAACACATGTCGAACACACATGAAATCAGCTGCTCTCACATGCCGACATACGGCTATAATCTGCAGCCTGGAATGCTAATACCCTTGTGGTTACTTGAGACTGGTTTGGGACACAGTCCTCCAGCGGAGGGAGCGTAAACCAGACACCAAACAAATACAGCTGAATTTTACTTGATTAGTTTCTGGGAATGAGAAAAAATGCCAATGAAAGCTCACATTTGATTTGAAACAATATTAAAGTTTATCAGATCATCACATCATCAACCCTGCCCGGATCATTTGGGATGCAAAGGCTGCATGAATTAAACTTCAAGTTTATTTTGGTGACTGCACATAAAGTTGTCAGACGGTTTTGTGACTCAGAGGGAAATTGCTTCATAAATTAAATACTTGCTGCTGTTTCATCAGAAAAAACACTTTTAACATTAGAGAATTTACAAAAGGAAGGATTGTACTTACAACTTTACATCCAGCAAAAGGATGAGTTTGTTTATCCTGGCAAGAGATAGAAAATCAAAATAGAGCCTCAGATCCTTGACGGGATGTTGAGGAGAGAAGAGGTTCAGGTGTGAGCAGGTAACCCCAAACAGAAACACGAAGCAGGTCCGACCTCAGCAGCTGATAAATATAGCCTGGTGCTTTGCCTCTGGTGCTCTGCTGCACCAGGCCAAGTGAATCAAGCCAGGAAAAGCAGAGCGAAGTAAGTAAAGAGAGGCAAGGGTCAACAAAGCAAAGGGAGTGGGCTTTTCCAGAGGAAAATGGGATGATGAATGGGATGATGAATGGGATGATGGAGGTCAAAACGAAAACAAAAATCCAAGCAGGAGTCCTCAGAAGAGATCCATTATTGTGAAGCAGGTTTGAAGTCCTGTTCTGATTGTGTTTAATGGTAAAAGGTGACACAACGCTGCTTCCAAGGGGTTTGGGAGTGGGGCCCAAAACTGTTGTGGTAACCTCATCCCACGGCAGCCATGTATGGACTGAGAGAGAAGGCTCGGTGGAGGGGCGTCTGCCATAAATAGCCAGGAAGCATAAAGCTTCCAGTGCAGGGGGATCGGATCAGCTGTTGGAACTACAAGTCAGAGTGAGGCTCAGCAGAACCTCCTGTACGAGGGCTCCTGCAGCACGGGGTCAAAAGTCAAACACACTTCTAAAATACACCTGGCTGCATATTAAAAAACCTTTTTGCATACTCGTTTTAATCTCTTTCATGTTTCCCTGCAAACCACGCGGGGCTCAGAAGCAACACGAGATAAGTGGAACAACTTATGGTTTACTCTTCTGAAAAGAGACATTTTATTAATGTGCAGCAAAGACACTAACTTGGCCAATGGGAGTAAAGTATTAGTTCTGTTTACTTATAATTAACAGGCTAAAAGTAAAGTCATGGAGGCATGTTCGGGTGGTGGTTGAGTCAGAAAAAGGTGGACTACTCTTGTGCTTTATTTGCTATTTGTCTCCATCTTGTGGTGAAGTGCTAAAATGCAGCGCATGTCTTATCTACAGGAGTTATTACCATAAGAACACAACTGCTCATTTATACTTTTTGCACCTCATTAATGTTTACGTTAAGTTTAGATGTGACTTCCTGACGAGTAACGGGACTGCAGTTTTGCTGGTAGGCTCTGACTCTTTCTGCGGTGCCACCTTTAATTCAGTGCTGGTTGGAGAAACAGCTGGAATAAAGTCTTTGTGTAGTGGCTGGAGCGCGGAGGAGGAGGGCAGCTGTCATCGTGGGTATAATGCAGTTTCTGTGCGACACAAGCAGGCATGGCGGCTGCAGAGCGCTGACAGATTTGAAGTCTTTTTATCGAGACCGACTCTAGCGTCGGGACAGCTGTGATGGAGGGACAGCTGAAGAGGTTTGCAGACTGTTTTTGTCCCAGAGCTCCCAGTAATGACCTGATTTTACTGTTTTAGGTCTTAAAGCAATGCAGCATGCATGAGCCGATAAAAAGGCATCCTTACTTTTATGTATTTTATTGTAATGTGAACAAAACTGGATCAAAGAGAAGACTGGATGTTTAACCCCAAGTTCCTCCACGTGTCAGGATGTTCGTGAGCTCCTTGAGGACATCAGACATGCTCATTGCTGCAGCAAAGTGTAACGGCTCAGGGTTGCAAGAAATAAGAAAGAACTGTTGAAATAATGTCTGTGTTTGTGCTTCTGTGACTCCCTCGTATGATTAAAAAGTGAAATACCCAAAAGCGTATTGGTGAGCCAACAAAAAGTCTCTCAGCTCCTTTTTTTAACAATCAAATTTAAGCACCACTCAAGGTAAATTCTCATGAGTTTGGTGGCTTAAAGTTAAAAAGAAAAGTAGATTTTATTATTTGAGACACTGGTTACATTTTCAACCTTCATTATATTCTTAGCTTCATTTACTCGTGCAGAATTTATTTAGTTTTTCCTTGCATGTTCCAACTCTTAACCGGAAATCATAATAATCTGAATTTCTAATTTTTTGTGCTACATTGCTGGATTAGACTCTGCTATCATCTCGTAACATATAATGACAGTTTTCCATTTCTGTAAGTCAGAGCCCAAGAAAAACAGTTTCAGGAATAAGTATGCTGGGACTATGTGGATTTCTGCTCAAATTGGTCATAAAACGTGATCTGATCTTTATCTAAGTCCCAACAACAGACAATTACAGTCTGCTTAAACTATGTTTCCATGTTTTGTTGAACACACCATGTAAACGTTCACAGTGCAGGTAGAAAAGTATGTGAACCCTAGACTGATGACATCTTCAAGAGCTAACTGGAGTCAGGCGTCAGCCAGCTGGAGTCCAATCAATGAAGAGGAGATTGGAGGCGTTAAAGCTGCCCTGGCCCAAAAGCACACACCAGTTGGCTCTCCTCAAGAAGATCTGATCTGCTCTCAGAAGACCTACGATTAACAATTGTTAACTCACATAAAGCTGGAAAGGGTTATAAAATTTCCTTGATATTCATCAGTCCACAGTAAGACAAATTATTTATAAATGAAGTTCAGCGCTGTTCCACAGCAGAACTGGCAAAATATTCTGTGAAAGTTTAGTTGTTTGGAAGAACCACACAAGACTGTGTGGAGAAAAACAGGCACAGCACACCAACATTTTACCTCATCTCAACTGACGTATGGTGGTGGGGGCATCATGGTTTGGGGCTGCTTTACTGCGTCAGAACCTGGACAGATTGTTATCACTGAAAAAATAATTAATTCCCAAATGTAGTAGGATGTTTGCAGAAGAACTTAAGGAGCACTTAAGGCCATCTGTCCACCAGCTGAAGCTCAACAGTAGACGTGTGTTGCAACAGGACAACGACCCAAAGCATCGAAGTAAATCAACTACAGAAAGTCAGAGACCTGACCTCAGCCTGATTGAGATGCTGTGGCATGACCAAGTTAGTGATTCATACCAGCTATTCCAAGATTATTGCTGAACTGAAACAACTGTAAAGAGGAATGGTCAAAAATTCCTCCTGACCTTTGTGCAGGTCTGATCTGCAACTACCGGAAACATATGTGCAGCCAAAGGGGGTTCGACCAGTTATTAAATCCAAGGGTTCACATACTTCTTCTACCTGCTCTGTGAATGTTTGCATGATGTGTTCAGTAAAAACATGTAATTAAAGTTAAAAAAGCTACATTTAAAAATAATAATACCTCCATGGGGTGTGCAGAATGAATTTACAGTTTCTCCTTTAAAAGTTATATTTAAAAAGATAAATAATCAAATTCTCATTCGGTCGGGCACAGCACTGTGTTTATGTTTGCATCTACCAGTCACTAGAGGGCACTGTTGTGCTCAGGCGTGCAGATAGGATGCGGGTATGTACAGTCTATGGATGCGGGATGGGGGGGATCTGTCCACCCCAGATTCAGATCGACCGTCCCCCCAACTAAGGTCAGAAAGAAAACAAAATCGGAGGTTAAGCGCTTGAAGCTCCTTTTTTCCAATTACACTGAATACAGCATGACGTAAACAAACACCAACTCCAGAGGCGCCAAAGTGGTTGCTGCTAGGATGCAGGATGAAGCGACAAAGGCAAGCAATGATTTCTGCGTATTTAAAAAAGACCAACAGTGAAAGTAGGCGGGACCGATCTGTCCGTTTATGCATGTTGGTTATAGATTCAGTACGTTGTTGTCAGTGTTGGGACTTACTCGTTATAAGTGCCAAAGCCTCACTGCTGACTTTAACAAGTCTCGTCTACAAATATGATCCCTCATGAAGTTACTACTTTACACCAGAAGATAGTGGAGATGTGGAACCTTCAGGCTGAGCAAAATATGGGAGTTTTTAGAGTTTGAAAAACACCTCCCGCTGAGAGGCTCCCAGTCGGGGAGAGGAGGAGATGCGCGCAACATGAAGAGCGTAAATATTAGATAAAACGTATAATTGCCGGCAGGTCTGCTCTTTGTTGACTGATCACTTTGTCTGGTGATGACTGACTCTGATTATGAAGCAGAATATTGACTCTGATGAAGAAATTCACTCATCCAGCCGGGACGATTGACGCTGCTGCAGCATCAGACAGCTGGTGCTGCACGAGAGGTGTGTGGAGTTTACAAGCTCCAAACGTTGGGTTTGATGTTGGTTTAACCTTCTCTGGGACGTGATGGATGTAGAAATGATGGTAAAAATCATTTATCATTTATAGTGTTGATCAGGCAGAGATTTGTTGCCAGCGTTCCACTGCATAATGGCTTCAAACACGTATATAAAAGTGTTAGTTTTAACGTAAACCATTGGATGAAATTACACAAACTGACTGAGCTCTAGTTAAGGCGCTTGCAATAGTGTGTGTGTGTGTGTGTGTGTGTGTGTGTGTGTGTGTGTGTGTGTGTGTGTGTGTGTGTGTGTGTGTGTGTGTGTGTGTGTGTGTGTGTGTTTGGGTACATTGGAACTTTGTCCCCCCCAGTTTGAAAATCCTATCTGCGCCCCTGGTTGTGCTAAAAAAAAGTCTGTTAAGTTAATAAGCAAGGTGAGGCTGGGACAGCGTGTCAGCTGACCTAAGTGCTGCACTGGGCAAAAACGTAGACATAAAAACACAGAATTAAAATTCACATTCATACAGAGAGTGCAGGTTTGACAGTCAGAAAACAGATAAGATCAAAAAATAAAACTTTAAGACCAAAAATGGCTAAAATCCTGCACAACAACACACTCACTGGCAAAAAACTAGATGAAAGAAATGGGTCTTTAGGCTAGATTTGAATTACACCAGTGAAGGAGACTGGTGTACGGACAGGGGGAGGGCATTCCACGGTTTGGTGCAGCGTCAGCGTAAGTGAAAGTACGCTGCCCCCGAGCTTTATCGCACATTTTAAGAACACAGAGGAGTTGTGGATCAGCAGACCTTAGTGACCTGGAAGGCATGTATGGTGAGAGCAGCTCTATCAGGTAGAACAACAACATGCAGAGCTTTAAAAGCAAACATTAAAATTTTAAATTGCACTCGGTAGTGCACAGGGAGCCAGTGTAGGTCAGCTGGGACTGTGTAAAATGATGTTCTAACGATAATTACTGTTGTAAAATAAACGCATTAGTAGAAATGAGTCTTCTTCCTGTATGATTTGTCTTTGGACATGGTGCTAGAAGGTGTCAGCACTGAACCAACATCCCAGCGGCTGGAAAACGAGTCCTGTTTTTGCAATACCAACTCTGACCACCAGGGTTCGCCAGATTGTCCATGTTCAGTTCTAATCTTGAATTGTTTTTTTTTCCTGAACATCCTTCAAACAACAAGAGAATAACAAATTTTTATTAACCGAGGGCTTTCTTGTGTTTTCTTTTCTTTTCTATGCTCTTGTGAATGTTTTGTAAAAATAAATCGTACCTTTAATAAAAGCTGTTTCCTGCTGCAACAATAAACACACACCGGATTACACGGCTGGTTTCTAAAGTACCAATTCATCACAAAATTAACTTTCATGCAAAGAGTTTATTTATGATCAGACTGCAGTATCATACAACAGTAGCAGAATCATGAGAATATGGATTATGCTTTATTAATACAAAGATAAAGGCATGTGTTAAGGAACAAAAATGAATGAACTCTCTTGATTTACTCTAAAAATAGCTTTTAAATACTTGGCATAGTTTTGTAAATGAAATTATGAAACATGTCCTGCCCACGGTTTGTTTTGTTTTTCTGCTGGAGTACCAAATGCAAATATACCTTATGAAAAACATTTTTTTCCTCCTCTCTCTTGCATCTCTCGCAAGGAAGAAAAAAAGATGCCTGTAAGTACAAAAAGCACTTAAATCTCATATGAAAATAGAAAATATTACAAGTGTGCATAATTACTTCATGTTTGCACGTAACCTGGAGTACAAAAAGTCAAATGATCAACAGTACCTGACATGCCAATTATATAGAGGTTAGGGGTAAGACTGAAATAGTTTTTCATGTTGTTGGGAGGGGGGGGGGGGGTCCCAAACGGATCAGACTGATCGTTAGAAGCTTTGGGTGAGCCAGCTTGTCCTGACTGCAGGTTTCAGGCATTAAACCTCCTCCTGCACCTTTATGATTTTTGTATCAGTTGGATTTCACAGTTTTCGTTCTTGTACGTTCCAGAAACGGCCTGAAGAGCAGAAAAGACCCACAATGCTACTGAGCTGCTCCAGCCAGAATAACAGCAGGACATAAAGGATGAACAGTGCTGAATTTGTTCATATTTGGCATTTTCTGGAGTGTCATGAAGCGCGCACAAGGGAAGGCGACATGAATGGTCCAGATTTACAGTAAAAGGTTTGAAACACCAGGACAAGGTTCTGGGTGGATCAGATGCTACAGCTGGAAAATGCTACGTAACAGATAAGGACGGACAGCTGATGTAGGGTAACACAAAACCACAAAAATATTTAAATATGGTTTCATGTTACAAAGAGTAAACGTTTGTAGAATCGGTTTGTTTCATGTCTGAGTCTGTGTGGCCTCAAATGTATCAACCAGTGTTAGTGACCGACCGCAGGAGAGTTTAAAGATAATAGAAGGAAGGATGGGAAGAGTGGACGAAGGGGGTAAGGAAGTTAGAAAGACCTGGAAGAAAGGAGAGGAGGTGATGGAGGGGGGGGGGGGGCAAATAAAGGGAAAGAAGATAAGAAGATGAAGCAAAAGAAGATAGAAAAGCAAAAATATGCGTAAAGGAAGGAAAACATGGTAAAAAAAGAAGAAAAGAGAAGAAAGGGTGGGAATAAGTAAGGAAGAGTAGAAAAAAGGAAGCAAGGGAAAAAAGAAAAGATGGAAGAAAAGAGGTGACAGAAGAAATAGTGAGGAGAGAGGGGTAGGAAGACAGGAGAGGTGGGAAAAAGGAAAGGTGTGGAGGGATCGGGAACGTTGAACAGAAAGAAGGAAAGAACAGGTTAAAGACAGAAATGATGAGGATAGAAGATGGAGGGTGAAAAGGGATGACTCAGAAGAGAACTGGAAAAAAGGAAGGATTTGGTGAAAGTAAAGAACAAAAAAATCCACATTTTATTTAACATGTTTTGAGAAATGACAACGTAACGATACATGAACTGGAAGACATACAAAGACAAAGATAAGACACAGGTCATGTTTGGACCACCGACAGAAGAAATAAATACAGCTCAGATGGATTCATGAGGCAGATATCACAAAGACTGTCAAACACTGACTGTTAGCGTATGAAAAGAGCACTATCAAATAGGAAACCATGGCACAATCAGAAAGTTTCCATTCTGTGAATGGTCTTGGTGGTGAACCCCGTCACAAACGGAGACCGAACCGTGTGATCAAGGCACACAAACAGGGTCATCCATCTGAAATCGCTCTGATAGGTTTTAAAGCACTAGAAAAGTATGTATATTCTCAATATGATTCTATACACGTGTGATACTTTCAGCTTGATAGAAGTGTGGAGAAATAAAATTTCATGGGTAAATACAAAATTTCTCTTAAAATATTTAAAATATACTTTATTTTGTACAATTATGCAAACTGATTAACAATTTGATGATAAAAATAAATAAATATTGTTAATAATAATGTTGTTTCACAGATGTATGAGCATAAATATATTATGAGATAAAGCACCCACCCTACATTAAGCACCCAGATACCCTGACACGATTGAATTTCCCTGTAAAATGATCTGAATGTCATGTTCACATTTAAATTTCTGACAATGGTTCCTACAGGTAGCTCCACTACACCACTGAGCTTTTAATATAACAATATTGCTCTACGTATCTTTTTTCTTTTTATCTTATTTTGTTCTAAATCCCTAAATCCATCTTTAAAGTTCTTCAAACTCGCTAACCACTAATTCAATCTGTGCCTTTATTGCTTCCTGAAATGACCTGGAAATTTAAATCTTACATCAAAAAAATCCAGGAACTAATCAGAAACTTCACCTATTCGGATCAAAATTTACAAATGTGGGTAAAAAAAGATGACTTTTCTGCGTCGAACCAATGCCTCTTTTAATCTGTCAACTGATCTATGTAGTATCGAGTACCTCTTCATTGAAGAGACCTATGGATAATTGTTGCAGTGTGTACAAAAGCAGTGAGAGAGGGCACAATGTCGTGAAAAGAAAGGAAAAAAAGGCGCATTGAGATCCTCTGAAAATCAAAACAGTTCTTTAGCCAAAGACAGTGATGTCCAGTTCTAAAACAGCTGTCACCTTGCCACAATCAGATATGGACTTCGTTTTGGTGTAGTCTAAATGCAACAGAAACAGATTTGATATGCAATAAATAAACCTTCTATGTCTATGTTAGCATCAACATAAACTTACATTCATTTCCTTGACTGCTCCGCAGAATGTAAAATAAGATTCCGCTGTTCACATTTCAGAAGCTCTAGTATAGATGACAGGATTGCATAATGTTTGCTAATGAGGAAAGCATAAGGAGGAGAGAATAGAAAGGACAAGCCACTACGAGAAGACTAGCTATAAATGTTATAGGGGATGGAGGACAGATGGGGAGATGGGAAGTCAGTTTGGGAAGGCTGGAGAGGGATTTGGCTAGAAAGTTGCCCTTGCGAGTCAAAAAGGGCACCTCCCTTTGGCAGTGGAACAGCACTCGTAGTAGTCAATGCAGCGCCAGAGGTGAAGGTGTACACAATGCTCTTGTCGGACAAGAAGGCCATTTCAGTGTCAAGATGAGATGAAGGCATTCTAGTAGGCAGCCAGGTCACAGTGTTGGAGCTAAAAACCCTCTGATGGAGATGATGGACGTAGGTCTTCCACACTGTCCCCCCCACCCCCCCACCCCTCATGCCCTCAGATGGGTTGGTGGGATTCTGGGATTTGAAGAAAACACAAAAACGTAGTTCAGAACAATTTTTTCCACATATAACAATTTACTGATTCAACCATCTAAGTTATCAAAGTATGAAGTAAAAAGGTAGAGAGGTACAAAACACAAATTGGGGGTTTAACCTGGCCTTTCATCTAAATCCATAAACTTCACGTAAAATAATAGACGCGTTTGCCCCGAAAGCTGGTGCATCCCTTCCCATTGGCAGCAAAAGTGCTCCACGCAGCTTGTTGCGTAAATTAAAAAAATCTCCAAAGAATTTAAATAACAAGCAAAGAGAAAGGGGACCTGGGTTTACCTGGGCTACGCAGGGGTCACAGATAATAACCAAAGGGCAAAGTTCACCTGCCAGGCATGAAACCAACACAGTAGTGACTTAAGCCCTTTTTATAAGACACGTCATGCTGACTAATCAGTGTAATACTACCGCCAGGGCGTGTCCAATGATTGTGCTGTGGCAGCGTGGCGATGCGGGAATTTTGCGACATTCATTCCGCCAAGCTTGGTAGCAATAGTGCCGCAATCCTGGACTTGTGAATGGATATTGATCTTGACGCAACAAATGGTGGTGTGATAGTCACGTTGGGAGTTACTGCCAAGTTCCGGCAAGCAACAAAATTGAAAATTAAATTGAACACAGGCAGTAAGTTTTACTTTCATTAACAAAACCAGCTAAGATAATAAACTAGAGCGATGCCGCGTTCCAGGAGTTTCTCTCCGATAGAGCTGAAGCTCAGATAACCAGAGACTGCACAGGGACTGTGAAGGACCACCATCTTTAAAAGTGGTTTGTTAAAAAAACTTAACGAGTGCAGCTTTGATTGCAATAAAAAAGTCAAAGAAATAACAGAAATCTGCGGCAGTGCAGAGACCGCCCCCATTGCCTCTTTCTACCGCCATCGCGTAATCTTATGTTAAAAGGACGTGTTTACGCCATATTACCGCCGCGGTCTGATCACTTAAAAACGACCGAAGACTCCCTGATGACGGCTCAGCGTTGCGGCAAATTGGCAGCATTGTTTTCTAAGAAAGGATAAAAATTGCAGTTCCCCCCTGATCCACTAGGGGCTAGCTCTAGAAAGGAGCAAGTTCCCTATGACTCCCATGTTAAAAATTCCAACATCACATGAGAAATAAGCATGTTTAAAGCCTGATACAAAAACTCATTTTAGGTGTAATAGGTCAAGTTTAGTGTCATGTAAACTCAGAATTTTTTTTTTGGGGGGGGGGGGGGGGGGGGTATAATTCATCTGTTTAGGTGTAACTAAAACTTGGAATTAGGTAAACTTAGGGCTGTGTCCTTTTGATTGACAGGTAGGATTTGAGCTGTCAGTGCTAGCGCTAGGAGCTTGCCACCCTGCTTGCTCGAAGGCATCAGCTTCTGTCTCACTTTAAAGTGTTACAGCCTAGAAAGAAGAGGGTAGCAGAGTCACTCATCTGTTTCTTTTTTTGTTTTTGTTTTTTTAGCTTAAAGGCCTGCCACCCTATGTTAGCTTAGTTTAACTAACTAAGCTTGTAGCTACATCGAAGTTTTTTGGTTGTCAATCATCTACCCTTACGATCAAAGACCCACTCTCAGCTCCATTTTGTATTTTCGGAAGTGACGAGATGTGTGATGCGACAAAGATGGCGATGGTTTGGAACTGCCTACTGGCCTTCAATTCAGCTCTTCAGAAACTTACGGGTGAAGGCACGGAGGGTTCATCCTGTCCTGCCTGATCTGAACTGCTGAGCTGGACACGTTCTGGAAGCATAGCTCGTAAAAATTAGACTTGAAGGTTAAATTTAGCAGAGTGTCGCTACGCTTAGAACATCCAAAAGTGTCTGGGCTATAACGACTGACTGGCCAATCCAAAAACCAATGTTTGGTCATGACATAAAATTTTAATATTTACATTTTTCAAGTGATAATTAAAAACCATCCCATCCCTGAAATTTGTTGATCGTTTTCATGATATTTTGACAATTTACTTCAGAATACAAACAATTATCTTTTATTCTCACCTGAGGGATTATTTCTGCTCATCTTGCAACACTGTCTCCTCAGCGCCCTGCTGTGAATGAGTGACCTCTTGATTGTTCTCCTTGTCTTCCTGCGGTACTACTTGGAGCTCCTCCACTTGTTCTTCATTGCCCTCCCCTTCCGCCTCCCCCTCCCCAGAGTCAGTACTCCGGATGCTAAGACGTCTTACTCGACAAATAACATCCACCTCTCTCATCCTGGCAAGCCGTTCAACTGTCATGTGACCCGGAGAAATAGCTAGTTTGTTCTGCAACGCTTCAATTCGTTGGGAGGGACCCTTGGGCCTCCTCTCCCCCTCCAAGCTTAGAGATAACCTTCGGTCTAAGTTTGGGAGGACTGAAAGTGGCAGTCGGTCTGGTGGAAACTCGGGTAACCCTGTTTGGTCTCGCCCCAAATGAGTCCTTAGACCAAATCGAAGTTCTGGGACAGAAACTGACTTCTTCTTCCTGTCTTTCCTGCCACCTGGCAAAGTGTTGTATTTACCCACACATTTCGCTACAGATTTCTTTTTACCTGGACTGCTATCAGATGTTTCTCCTGAAAGGGATTTCCCCTTTTCTAAATCTAGTCCTTTTGTTAAAGTTTCGTTAATGCACTGTTCCTCTGTAACTTTGGAGTCTTCAGGTTGATCGGTAGCAGACGAAAGTTCACCAGCTCCAGGTTCTGGTTTGCTAACATCACAATTAACTGTGCGTGAACCGTCTGAGTTTTCTACCTGAATACCTTCAGCTTTTTCACTATCCCCTTCTTGTGGCACAGCATCCTGTTCTGCCATTTCAGCACACAGGTCTGACCCTGGCTCGTTTAAATTTGAGTCTTTTGGCTCCTCAGTTTTTGAGTTTTCTGCTGGACTTTCGAACGTAGCACGTTGCGGTGGACTGCCATTTTGATTGGCTGAGCTGTCTGAGCTATTCTCCTCGTGTAGTGGAGGTAAGGGACCCTGTCTCATCTGATTCTCTAGCTCTCTTTTACAAATGGGACAATCCTCCTCTGAATCACCACTGAGATCTTGAAGAGGCTCTGTATCACTAGGTCTGGATTGGCCCATGGATGGTCTATTGACCTCCGTTGGGTCTTTAGGTTGACGCAATGTTTGGCATATGTCCTCGTAATCTGGTGGACTTGTAAGAGTGGAGGCATCTTGCATGGGTTGTCTATCTGCCCACGGTACCTCGGCTGATGTGTTGTGCATTGATGGACTAAAGTCACAAAGCGGTGTCTCAATAGGCTCATCTGGCAGGTCCAGTTTCACCGTCCTGCCGTCGTTGCTCCTTCTACGTGAAAGATGTGCAACAACCCTGTATTCTCTGAATCCGGTCTCTCGAGGTGGGACTGGGAGTTCTTCTCTAAGCTGCTTGCTGAATGTTACTGACTTTGTTGCAGGCCTAGAGAAGGCACTCTTAACTTCTCTGTATTCTGGGTCAACGGACCAGCTTACTGCACTGCGCCTAAGGCTGCTGGGCTTATTGAGAGGTTCTGATGTCAGTCGAATTTTGATTCGCTCTGGAATTTGAACGGAACCATTTGGGACTTTATTGCTGGCAGTGCCTAGCTCTAAGATGTCTTTGTAGGCCTCGTTGAGGTCCTCTATGCACTTGTCCACACTTGGCTGTTTGCTGTTTTGCTGCTGCTGCTGCTGCTGTTGCTGTTGATCCTGAATTTCTTTTTTGATGGTCTCCAGTTCTTTGACAGCATCCCATGGTCGCTGTACGGTGGGTTTTATCAAGAACTTTTCAAATGGCTCTTGCCCAGTGTTTTCTGGTTTGGCCTCCTCCACATTTCCTGAGGGGGTCACTGCTGTCTGCTGAGCTGTGCTCTTGTTTAGCTGGCTGGAGAAGGTGGAGGTCAGAGAGAAGGCGCTGTTGCTTGACAGTTTCAGGCTCTTGACTCCCTTTATTGGAAAACTGAAGGCAGTGCCCACTGCACCACTGCTGTCTGTAGCAACGTCCGTGCCAGGAGAGTTAGGGTCTTGTTGTGCTTCTTGATTTTCAGGGCTGGGTTTCTGAGCTTCTGGGCTAGTTTGAGTCTCCTGATCTCGATACTGGTTTGAAGGCCAAGTTCCTGACAGCTTCAGTTCCTTGTAATGGTTAATTTTTGGGGGTCGACAGGGTAATCTTTTGAACATTTTACTGCTGGCTCTACTGCTCGTTTTGCTGCTTGCCATGCTACCAGTTAAAGCTTGCAGCTCAGCTTCAGCTGAAGATGTGCTTTGGAGACTTTGGTTGGTTAAATGACCAGTTTTGTTGTCGCTAGGACTACCCGCTGGGTCTGGTGACTTCTCATTGTTGTTATTCTGATCACGTATTGTCCCACAGGGCTGTGGGGTAACGGGGACAGATACTAAACAAAAAATAGTTTCACTAAGTCTCTTTTTTAGATTTTTGGATTTTTCTTTCTCCAGTGGTTCATGTTGTTCCACTTTCTTTACCTCTGTCATAGTTTCAGAGACACCCTGATCAGCCATTTTACATGGGGGTGGTGGTGGTTTACCGAGAAAAGATGAGGGGAAAATGTGACTACGGCTTTGTTCAGGACCTACACTTTCACTTTTTTTTATACCCCTGTTGCACCGTCGATTACTACTGTCTTCACTGAGAGCTGTTTTGTTGGATTCAGTATTAGGAGCTGGCCCCTGTTGGGGAGGAAAGGCACTATCATGTGGAGATTGTCCTAGAGTCTTAGCAGCTGGAATCTCTTTGTTGATGTTTCGAAGCTTGTCTGAGTCAGTGAGAGAATTTCCGCTTGGTCCTCCTGAGATTTGCTTCACTCTTGGGTCCTCCATGGGTAACTGACGAGCCAGACTAGGTTGTTCTTCAAGAGAATGCACCTGTTTTCTATAGGACAAACTACGCTCTCCATAATGTTCCAGCCATGAGCCACTTCCCTGTCTGGAAAGCCACCTTCCAGGATCTGAGATGGGCATCTGCAAAGCTTCTGCTCTCCATCTTAAGTTTGCCAATTCATTGCGGTTGATTGAAACTGCTCTTGGGGGCAGGGCTCTTTTATAAGAAGGTGGTGGAATGTAGCCAGGAGGCTCCATTCCAGTGATGGCAGAGTGTTGTGCGAAATAGTCTTGTCTCAGCTCCCCAACCCTTGGATAATAGAGAGATCTGTCTTTTTGTTTGGCACCCTGCTCTATGGCAAGCATTTCTGCGCTACCCCTTGTCTGCTGGTGTATCTCATACGAAGGAGGCTTTAAAGGCCTGCTGAACCTGGGCTTTGGTAACAGTGCAACATGGCTGCCAGGGCCAACATTCCTACCCCAACAATTCCTACCGCCACCATAGACATATCTACTGTAGGGCCCAGAAAAAACAGTGCTGCTTAACCGTTGCCTATCAGGGAGGCTTGGTCTTGATGGTATGAGATCTCTGCAGTCAGTTCCATCAGGGGACAAAACTCTGGGGAGAGACTGAGACTTTGCTTTAGTTCTGGGATGAAAAAACCCATCAGGTGTCCTCAGGTGGTACTGGTCTTTAGCCCACCTTTCCCCATCCCCGTCCGACAGCTGCCTTCCCATGCCCACAGCAGGCCTCCAATCCTCTGTGCCTAGGCTTTGACACTTCCTCTCCCCAGTCACCCTTAGCTGACCGGGGCCTGCTTCTGGGTCTCTTAACCAGGAAATATCCTCCCATAGTTGCTGCGCTTGCCTCTCTGCCCTGTATTCCTCTGATGTCATCAGGGCTTGTGGCCTCCATGCTCCAGCAGAGGCCCTTAGCTCCCTGCCATCAGCGTAGTCCAGTAGTATGCTGAAGTCCTGGCCTCGCCTCCGCCAGTATGAAAGGTCCCGCTCATCATGGCTCAGTGGTTCTGAATAAGTCAAACTAGGAACATCATAGAACCTATGAAGACAAAGTTTAGGATTAATGAGACTGCTGCATTTGTAACAAAGAGAGTGGAGTGGATAAAAACCTGCATTGATTCTTATGAGGGTTTCCTAATTGGTATTATCTGAGTTTTAATTATAATCCATTTATTGTAACTTAGTTTTTCCATAAAACTGTCTTATTTAATAGTCACCCATGTGGTTTTATTAAAGAAGAGCCAATCTTCCAAATGTGACCATTGTTAAATGTAAAAAATGGCATGTCCAAGTCAGTAGCGAGCAAGTGTTTTAGGATATATTGGCTTTGCAACACAACTTAATCAAAAAGAGCCTGTACTTATGAGACAGAAGTGCTTAAGTCAGCGACTTCAGCCTCCCTTGAAGACATCATGAAATTGTGATGCTACTGCAATATGATCTGCATAATGAATTGTGCTGACCTTATCTCGAAGACTGGTCATCTGGCCAGCAAATGTGGCTCTTAAAATCTTTGTAAATCCATCCCATTATCTGATTTGATGTAAAGGCAAAAGTGCTCCATTCATCTGTTTATTCAATCACATAAATAACTGCGAAATGGACCGCTGCATGTTCAATATGATGTACATATCTTAAGCATCAAACAATACATGCATAACAGAAAATAAACCAAAAGAAGAGATTTAAGTTTGACTATTAACATTGCTAATTTTCAAAATAAAACCCATTCATGGAAAATTTTATATATAGTCACTTAATTTGAAACAGCAGTTTTAACATTTTTTGTGGAAGAAAAAAATTTGGAAATTATTTTCATTCTACTTCCATGTTGACTTTAAACTTTTATAAATAATCATAATTTCCCTCACAAAATTTCCACGAGATGTCATCAGCCACACTCAAGCCCTTTGAACCCGTCCTGCTGACATTTGGTTATAAGGAGTTAAACGTCTTTATAGCTGTAACACTTATAAATAACAAATCATTCAGAGAAAATCAAATAAATGATTGCATGTTACTCATTGTAGCTGATTAATGCTAACAAACACTTTCACATGGCCAGAGCTCCATCAAATATCTGCAGTGCACAAAAAGCACTGTTAGTCAATGTGCTCATTCATTTAAGCAGCAAAGTCAATGGAACATCCTCAGCAGCATATGCTACTGTATGGCTGAGCGGAGCTGCGCTGTGCATACTTGCCCAGCAACATGCTTACATCACAGAGCACGTGCTGGGTATGATTCAGTGTGCCAGTGTTTACAGTGGAGCGATTACGCGCCTATCTTCAGGCATGTTCCTCTGTTTGCTCACCAAGTAGTGCCGCTGTTTACATCTGCCTGCTTGGTGGAGGCTGTGAAAACGACACCGGTGCGTGAGTGGGCACCACAGAGACACCAGACACGTCTTGGTGCAGGCATGTAAACAACTCAAGGCACCTTTTCATATTTCCTTGTATTCTAGCTCAAGATATGTCAGCGGTGCTGCTGCAGCTACTGTTCTGCAGCCCTGTAAGGAGGGGAGGAGAGGAGAAGGGGAAAAAAATCCTGCGCAGTGCAGACTCAATTTTGCATGCAATCCTGAAGGGCCCTAGTGAGACAAGGTTAGAGGGAAAAAGAGGAGGTAAAGGGGTGTGGGGTATGTGGGGAAAGGAGGGAAAATGCACTCACCCGCTATCTGACGCGAGAGAATCACCCAAGGGCTGAGCGTCACCTAGGATACCAATACAGAGTTCTTTCCTCCTTTGGATCCTTTCCCCACCCTCGTTGTCTATGATGGGATAGCCCTTCACCAGAGCCTGCCTGGTGCCGTAGATGCCCGTGATAGATGATGGGCCCCTCTCCGCCTCGTACCCGTTCAGCGTTCCACGGCCAGGCCTGTTGTCCACAAGTTCACGCTGGCAGACAGCAGGACGCTTATCATAAGGTGTGGCAGACGGAGGGCCGCTCCTGGGCAGTTTGTATCCGTGTGAAATGAGGAGGTCCTCCACACTGTACATGGTGGTGTCTCTCTCACTTCTGGGTGGGAGGGCAAAGGTGGGAGTGCTGCCTTATGCGCAGTGCTGCTGGTGGAAGCTGGAGCACGGTTGCTCAGCGGAGGCCATTACTAAAAAGAGAACAGAGTGTCAGAAGAGTGTCGTTAAAAAAACAGCCGCTGATTCTCAGAGAATGACTGTGATCCTTTTCAGAGCATGTGCAGCTTTCAGCACATTTTGTTGTACACTTAGCACAAGTTTAATAAGAGAGAGACCATCATACGTCTCCACTTTGTTTATTTAACCTTGCATTTCAGTTGAAGTTTTTAAGATTAATAAAAATCTGCTATTGTGGAACTTTAATATGTGATTTATCATTTTTCCTAAACATAAACATTTTAACAAATTTTAGTCTAATTGACAATCAGTGAAAATGAGGATTCTGGGACACTTGGATAAAGCAGGTTTGGGCCAGTACGGGGAGGGGGGGTTCCATTGACAAAACGTTAAATTGTTTCTTCAAAACAGTCAAACGGGAGAAGAATGGGGTAAAGAAGCTGGATTAACAGACGGCTATGTGGGTGTTGTCTGCAAATGAAACTGAATGTTAAGGTTCCAAGGACAGAGCCCTGATGACCACCACTGCCAACTAGGGAGGTTTGTGACTATTAAGCAAGCAATATATTCACGATACTAACCGAAACTTGGTGGCTAAAAAGGCAATGTGTAGTTTTTACCACCAATCTCTGGAAATATCCATCGAAATGTTGTTGAAAATTACTTAAATGATGCCCGGTTGTTAGCAATATTGACGACTTTGTAACATATAATCATGAAAGTCAGGTCTAAAATACACAGGAGATGGTTTAAGTGCCTGGGCAATGCCATGCTTCATTCTACGGGTGCCCATGAGGACAAAATGCATTTACTGATTTGTAACAAATGGTTACAAAACTTTTGCCATTTCTAAATGTAGTTTTACACATTTACCTTTTCACTCCTTACCAGTGATGAAAGGGAGTCTGTTGTGATGTCATTTTACTGGAGGTTGCGCTCTCAGGGATTTTTGACCCTAATGGCCATCCGTTAGTCCGGTCTTACTCAAACACAACAGTAATGCTTGTTTGCAGTGATTTCGGTATGCACTGCCCCCTAACGCCAGGGAAAATACACATTTATGCACATCATCACTATAAGGAAGATATCAAAATGCGTAGTAAAAAGAAAAGTGTACGCATGAATAAAAAATTATATCAAGTTGACATTGGGTTATTTTCAAATAGAAGAGAAAGATAACTGCGAAGAAACTTTTTTCTAATGACATCATAAAACAAAATTGTCTCAAAAAGCGTAGCCGCAGCATGTTTACCATACCTTATATTTTTACCTCATTAAAACTGGAAAAGATCAAGGAAGAGATAAAATTCAACATTGCATATTTTTCTGAGTGTGCTGATTAAAAATGCATGATACAAATACATAAGCTGCTAATGAATGGTCTAAAAAATCTGCAAGGAGATAAGCTTCTAAATAGCGTATCTAATATTTACAGTTTTACAAGAACTTTATTATTCTAAAGGAGTCAAACCAATGTGTTTCAGGTTAGCACACACATCAGGACTGTCCGTAACACTTAAATAGTACAAACTGGTTACTTTAAGGGGTTTTGTGTAGGAGTTTATGTGCCCGTGACACCAGCTGATAATTATTTTAATTGTATTTGAACAAAATTTTCAAGAATTGCTCTAAATGTGCTGCAGCGAGTTAAAAAAACAGTTTGTGAGTGTTTAAATGCATGGGCAGGCCCAACTGTCTGATATCTTAATTAGTGACTATAACTGCAAGGACATGACAGAGCATGTCTTATAAATCTGCAACACATTGATCAAAGGCTTTGCACACGTTAACATTTTAGCTAATGGTGTAAAGGCTTAAATAGTGGATTCGTTTTCATTTCCCATCTCAAACGTGTCGCTTAAACGACGCTAAATCAAAGGAAACGGCTCAAATGTGAGCCAGATCAGTTCAGGTTTTATGGTAACTGTTCACATTAATTGAACGTTTGCATTCATGTCTTCATGAACTGCATAACATTTATGTTATTTTTTTACTAGACTTGATTCCCTGTGTGTGTTTTTTTAGATGGATCACATATTAGGTATTTTTTTCCTTTGGTGAACACTGCCCTGCAGGTCTTAGGAGTTTTCCTGCTTGATGTAAATTAGTGGGTCGTTAAAAAGCTTCTGCAGAAGTTGATGACATGCTGGGATGTAACTGAACTGGGTGTGTCCCCAGCAGCAGGATGGAAAAATGCTGCAACAAGGAGCTAAAGATTTGTTTTTTATTTTATTCTTCTGTTTGTTTTTAAATCTGCTCCCATTTTAGTCAGAGCTACAGCAGAACTTGGGTATTTTTATCCCAGGAGTCATTAGGTGAAAGGCACGGGACTCGTCTCCAGTCCAACACAGAGTCATGCCCACCCATCCATCCACAAACGAAGGATCATTTTAAATAATCAATTCACTTTACCAAACAACCTGGAGAAAAGTATTTATTTAATGTGCTCATAGAGAATTACACAGAAAAGCCTCGGTGTACGTTAAAGAGCAGGTTAAAAAAGCTTTTAGAAAAATATTAGACTAAAATCCAGCTTGGTTATCCAAAACAGTTCCAAAAGTTGCAGGAGTGTTTTGAAAAAATATATTTAAACTGTCATAAAACACAATAATTTCTTTTGTGTGTTGAAGTTTGTGCTAATTTAACATTAACTCTTTCCTTTGTGGTCAGCCATGTAGCATGCAATTACTGACATTATTACATACTTAGCAGTATGCTTAACATTTTATATCATCTCTCTATAATGTTAAAGCCACCATTGCCCCAAATTAACAGAAAATGAAAAATAAAAGGTTTTAAATATTTCAAACCTTGTTGTGGGTTAAATGATTAAAATTAATGCTGCAAACAAAAATAGTTCTACTGTTTTTAATCAGACATTTTATTAAGATCCTTGTTTTTTTAGCCTCCCTCTGGATTTATGGTATCAGTCAGAAAATATTGGTTTATACTAATAAATGAGTGACCTACTGTTATTTCTTAACTGGCACTTTTAACTCTTTTTTTGTGTTGTTACAGAAATAAATAGTTTCTAATAATTTGCATAACTGTGAGATATTTTTAAATAATAAATTAGTTTTTTGACCATGTTTTCATATTGTTTCTGATAAATCATTTTAATCAAAATTACAAAAATGTGGGAAAACCGTTTCAGATTGTGATCAATTATTGTGATTAGTTAAAGCAGATTCTATGTTATTTAATAAATCCATACTGAACCAGGTTACTTTGCTGATCTAAATATTGCAAACGTTCCTCTAAGATTATGAATCATTATTTTTCAGTCCATGCACACAAAATGTTTGGGGAAAACTAAGAGAGACAAGGGCAGAAAAACTGTGAAACAGATCCAATAACCAATGACCAGAACAGCAGAATCGACGAGCCTTAACATTAAGAAGTCTGAGGCATTCAGATGATTCAAATGAATCTTCTCCTCGGCTCCTCTTGACCTTACAGTGACCTTAGCATTTCTCACTCCAGAACTTTGCAGTTTGGAGTTGTGGGAGTCCATATAGCTTCTGCCATGGGCCGATTGCCTGGAGAATACAGTCCAGATGTAAGGGAAGCTCGGCAGAAGATTTCCACTGACCATATTTTCAAGGACAACACACACGAAAAAAACTGGCCAGCTTATAAGTGCCACAACTGCACCAACTAGATGATTTGAGCCAAAGATAACATTAAGAATCACCAAACAAGCTGAAACCGGAGCCCGAGTCCTACAGCTGATCTTGGAGCCAAAGTAGTTTGGAATGTAGTTCTAAAAAAAATCCCAGGAGACTTTAAGAACCGCTCAAAACCAATAAATCATCATCAAAATATGAGTATTGATGTAGAAACATGACTTCTGAGTTCTGCAGAACAAAGCCGACTCATAGTGGCTCATTTTTGACAAGGTCACAGCTTCAAATGATTGCAGAGGAAATGTGGCACATGAGCCCCCTTTTTTGCATAGCAACAACAAAACTACCACAAGTATCCACAAAACAGTCCCGTGTCTGCATGTGCAATGCAGATTCATGGAACCATGTGAAAGTTTGGTGGATGAGGAGGAGCAAAAGAAAAACGTCAGATGATGAAAATCTGCTTTTTGCATCTTTTACTAACTGACAATTACTCTAATTAAGAGCTGAGTCGTTTCCTGTTCAATGTTAGTTTTCTTGAGCATCAACTTTAATCCTAAACCCGAAAAGAACTGTAATAGGGGCATAAATGGTGTAACCTGTTTAGCGTTTTCTCTTTGATTTGAGCCACTCAAACAAACCACCGGACAGAAGGGAGAGAAGGTGCACAGCCAGGCCTGGAGACTGTATGCACAGGTAGTGGCCAACATCAGCACCATGCAGGCAGCAGGAACTGCTTAGGGAGTGTACCTACATCCTACCTAGTGACAGGGAGAGCAGAGCGTCTCGGATCAGGCTAATCAGAGCAAAGCTGCCTCTGCAAACTCGTTTAATGCACAAGTTTTAATCTGGAGCCTTTTTTTGTTCAGTGAAACCTATAAAAAACGCATCCCTGGTCTGGATAGCCCACCGTGAATGAATAATGAGCTGAAACAGACCCGTTGTGTCATATCAATAAAACATCACTGTTGTGATTGATAAATCATGCATTATAGATACAGCATGACCCAGCCGTGCTGTTTGGATGGATTTAACATGTCTGATTTCTAATTACCCGATAGAGGAAGTGCCGCAAGTCAGCGCCCAAGCGAAAGCTGCAGGCTGCACGCCCTGCAAGTTGAAATGTTTTGATGAAAGCCGCTTGCATGGCCAAATCCGAACTGCACATTTTTTCCAAGAGAAATGCGCGCAGCTTCAGTGGAGAGAGCGCACATCTCCGCCGCTGATGCTGACGCCCATGGGGAGGCGGTGATGTGCGCTCATCTGTCGAAAAGGAGAACGTTTTTGAGGTGTGCGCGACTTAAACCGGGAGAGGTTTTGCAGATGCGTCCGCTGTGTTTACCCAGATCCTCCGCCTGCCACGGAGACGTGAGCAAACGGGGGATAAATATATTTGTTAAAGAAAATAAAAACCCCTCCCTAGAAATTAGCCATACAGCAGGAAGCGGCATGCAGCAAAGATGCCACAGCAACGCAAAAATAAAAGATAAGGGCGTGTAGCTGCGGAGGGGGGGAGCATACCTGGGAAGATGCTTGTTCCCTTGCGCCCAGCTTCAGCTGCTGAGACTGAGAACTGAGAGCAGCGCACGGAGCCTGAGCCGAGCATGCCGATTGGTAGGAGGAGACGCGCTGGTTGCTGGCTGCCTTGATGGGCTCTCCTCACTACAGCTGAGGCGGGGTGGGCTCCTCACACGCAGCCAGCTACAGAACAGGGATGACAGAATGGTTTCTTCCGAACTTTATTATTTTTTTCATGGCAACAGTCATTTTTAATTGTTCAGACAACTTAAAACACTGCAAGTTGTTTCCTTTGGCGCACGTACGCAACCGCGCCGTCTAAACGGACTTTATTCTCTTTTTTATTGATTTGATTAAAAACTTACAAAAACTGCCATGTTTACCGTAGGCCTAATTGTGGTTTTGGTGCGTTTAATCCAGTGTGGCAGCTCGGCACCACACCCTTGGTGATGTTGATGACTCGTCACTGAACGTCACCCACCCACCCCCTTCCTCCCACCCAATGCCAAGATGGCTTGGCTGATTAAATGTGCTGCGCTGCATCCTTCCTGTGCCACATGCAGCAGCACTCTCGGGGATTTCTTTCTCAGGGGAGTAATGGGATGGCCTGCAGGTGGATCTGTGGTTTGGTGCACGTCTGGAACATTAGGGCTGAGATTTCAGATGATCAATTGAATTAATCATTTTATTAAGTGGCACACGAAGGTGCTGATGCGTTTTGTACTTAATTCTCTTTCATTTAGATTAAACTTGATGATAAGGAGTTGCAAATGATGCAGACAATGACTCAAATCTGACCTGAAAGCAGATTTTTAATCCAGACTCCATCAAATCTCAAATGTTTTCATGCTGCTTCTTCTTGTGAGCGATCTGACTTCTAAGCTGTGAGACGAAGAACAGATTAAACAGGCTATAGGACCTTTGGATTTTCCCCTGGCCTTCAGTTTCTGAGATGAAAAAGAAATTTACGTTACACCAACATGAGATGCAGTTTGATGGGTTGGCAACCCGTATATCACTGCTGCAGATATCAGCTCCCTGTGTCCTTGCTTGTGTAATCAAGCTGGTAAAAGAATGAATGAATGAAAGAATGAATGAAGGAATGAGCAATAGCAGTTAAAAGTCCAAAATGATGCAGAAAATGTCTCAACGACCATCTAAATGTTGATTTTCTGACCAGATATAGACACCACATCTCAAACGTCTCCAGTCTATCGAACACACACAAGCAGTTGTGCTCTCCTTCACCAAGGCGATTGAAATGCACGCCGAAAAGAAGAGTAAAAAGGTTCAGTGATATGTTTGTAGTAAGAATCATAGCAGGAAATTCAACTGTTGTAATTCTCAGTTTTTTTAACAGACATAAAGAAAGCCCTTTGGATGAAAACATTAAAGGAGCCATGTTATGATTTCTTTACTTGTGGTATAATAGTACAATAGCTGGCACAAAACATTTGTATGAAGGTCTTTGCACTAAATCACATCTTTTAGAATGAACTGTTTCAGGGAGCCATGCCCACCCATGTCCTAATATGCTGCTGGTGGAGTGAGGCACTTCCCCTCTGTGCTAATTTCCCAGGTTGTGATGTCACAAATGGGGAATTTTTTTTAATTATTTTTTTTTGGGGGGGGGAAACAGCTTGATTTCAACATTCTCACTCCCAGCGCATCAAAAACAAACGCTTGGTCTGCCACCCTCCGCCTCAGACCCCTGACGCCAAAAGTGCCCTTTTTCATTACTTATGTGCAAAAAGGGGGTTTCCCCTTTTCTAACTGCAGATCCCAGTGCAGCGTAAAACTGACGCGATGGGATGTCCGCAGCCAGGGCACCAAACAAGCTCATTGTATCTCACCCTAACCTTATCCTCTTATTTAACCTTCCCCTCACCCCTATCCTAACCTTAACTATCTTGCTAGCGAACACGCTAGTGATGTGTCGGTCGCTCTAAAAGCCGGCTCTATGAAGTGAACGGCAGGAGCCGCCTCGTCATTGGTCGGGTTTGGACCGAGCCAACGCGAGGGAGAGGTTTCAACCACCAAGGTGGAGGTTAAAAGTAGAGGGTGTTTGTAACCTCCTCCTCGCCAGATGGTATGTTCTAACATTCCCCTTGGGCAGCAAATACAAAAATTCACAGTCAGAATGCATGGGAAACAAACGCTTGATCACAGTGAGAGTAACGTTTTAGGTAGCAAGAGGGTTAAGGTTAGGATGAGGGTGAGGGGAAGGTTATAAATAGCAAAACGTTAAGGTTTAAGTGCGGTTAAATGAGCTGGTTCGGTGCCGCATCAGCGGATATCCCATCGCGTCAGTTTTACGCTGCATTGGGATCTGCAGTCAGAAAAGGGAAAAACCCCTATTTGCACATAAGTGACGAAAAAGGGCACTTTTGGCGTCAGGGGTCTGACGTGGAGGGTGGCTGACCAAGCATTTGTTTTTGATGCGTTGGGAGTGAGAATGTGTTGTTGATTTAGTTCCTAAAACCAAACACTGACAGAAAACTGACCTTCAGAGTGTTTAGAGATACAGTTAGTGAGGTAAGACAAGTCAACTTTATTTAGATAGTGTATTTCACACACAGAAGCAACTCAGTGTTCTCTTGGTTCTTGTTAAGGCTCCAGCAGCAGCATTCTGAATGAGCTGCAGTTGCTTTACAGCCTTTTTGGGAAGACCAGTCAAAAGACCACTAAAATAGCCTGCTGGAGATGAACACATGAATAAGTTTCTTTAGGTCCTGTCTGGTCATGTGACCCCCGAGCCTTGCTAATTGATGAAGATGATAAAATGCTGATCTAGTTATAGTCTTAATGTGACCAGTGAAGTGCAGGTCTGAATCAATTATGACACCAATATATCTAACCTGGGTCTTTGTCTTTATTCCTCTGGAGCCAAGTTGAGCAATAACCTCCATCCTATCCTTCTGATTTCCAAAGACAATAACTTCAGTCTTGTCTTTGTTTAACTGGAGGACGTTTGACTGCATCCAGACATTACCTTGCACCAAATACTGAGCCTAGGGGTCCACAGTCACTATAGGTGATAGTTGGGTAGATATGGGTGTCATCTGCATAACTATGATGGGTAATGTTATTGTAAAAGTCCTGACCCAGGGGGAGCATGTAGAGATTGGGGCGATGGTGGAAGAGTGCCCACTCCTCTCAGTCTGTCGCAGTCGTTGTGTCCTTCACACTCCTTACCTGTTGGTGGAGGTTGTGGTACAATGTAGCTCACCACCAGCATATGAATGTGTGTGTGCATCGATGAATGACTGGATGTGTTGTGAAGCATCTTTTTTTTGGGGGGGGGGGGGGGGGGGGCTTAGAACACTAGAAAGAACATTAGAAAGTGCTAAGAGCAGTGGTCTGAGAATCGAACCCTGAGGGACTCCACACGTCATAGTGATCTGCTTCAGTTTGTGATCACCAATCGAAACCACAAACCTGTCTTCGAGAAATGATCTGAACCAACTATGAACTGTGCCTGATAATTCCGCCCACTTCATGAGTCTATTAGGAAGGATGGTCCACAGTATCAACAGTAAAAACCGACAAGGCAGCACAAAGGATGCAAAAGGTGAGTTTGTGCAATATGTCCCCATTAAAAATGTATTTGGTCTTCTTTTGTGCATTCATTCTGTGTTTTTCTTCCAACTGCATTACCTGGTTCTTTATTTAACACAGAAAAGAGTTGTTACCTTAAATGGAGAAGGAAGTGACCCGCCAACAGCAGCGAGCTCTGAAGAAGACTGCAGGGGTAGTCGAAACCTCAGCAAAAAAGAAGGTAAAGCAACTCTTTTCTGTTAAAAACAAACCAAGTAATGCACAAATTTGGCCTGTTTAACTAAAGCAAAGCAAATTATATTATAATTTTTAATGTCAATATGAATGGTAATTTGTTTTCATGCATGCTATATGTGGTAGTAAATGGTTTTTTGGGTGATTCTTCATTTTGTTTTTAATGAATCACACAGATAAATATGATGAGATGTCAGAAAACAGCAAAACTTCTCCTCAGATGATTTGAGGAATAGTCTAGATGTGTCATATGTGGATGTTTCTGCAAATTGTCACAAACTACTGCAAGGCTGACATTTCAGCTAATCAGCAGCACCTATTTAAAGCTCATGTGGCGTAAACGGGGTGTTACAGATGCCAATGTTTCAGGAGAATGTTGGTTTGAGTCCTCATTACAGCAGCTAAAATACATATTTGTTCTTGATGTTTTCAGAAATACAAATGTCTGATTATTTTATTTACTTCAGAAACTGCTCTGTGCTGTAAAGTATGGTCTCACCAGGAAATGAGATCTGAAAATCACACCAAAGCCTCAGCTAAGCCCTTTTTGCATCAAAAGTTAGATATTTCTGTCATGAACCGAGTTCAGAAGACCCGTGAAGACGCCAACACAGTAAAAATATATTAAAAAGTCTTTATTTAATGCAGAGGTACCTGGAGGGCAAGGCTGAGGGCAGGTTCAGAGGCAGGCTAAGGTCAAAGTGGCAGGCAGAGAGCAAGGCAGGGGTCAGGCAAAAAACAAGGTCCAGAGGCAAAGATCAGGCAGGGTGGATGGCTGGAGAACTACTGGCAAGGCTGTAATAATCTGGCATCTGTTGACTGGATGGCTGGTTCTTTTATAGCAGGGGAAGCAGGTGAATGGGATGAGGCTGATTACAGGAGCAGGTGGAATGAATGGAGCTGATTGAAGCTGACAGGTTGCTGGGGAAAGCAGGGCTTGGCTGGAGCTTGGTGAGAGGAACCAGGTGAGCTGAATGAAGGTATAATGAGGAAGTGGAGGAGGGTGAAGGATGGGAGTCATGACAGAACACCCCCCCCCCCCCCCCCCCCCCCCCCCCCACCCCACAAGGGCAGTATACCAGACGCCCACAGGAAACCAGAGCAGGGTGGGAGGAGGGGGACCAGGAAGGAGGGCCAGAGCAGGGCGGGAGGAGGGGGACCAGGAAGGAGGGCCGGAAGGGTCTGGGGGGCCGGCGACGGGGAACCAGGAAGCCGAGACAGTGGGAGTCTGGGGGGTCGGCGACGGCGGAACCAGGAGCCGGGACCGTGGGAGTCTGGGGGGGCCGGCGACGGGGAACCAGGAGCCGGGACCGTGGGAGTCTGGGGGGCCGGCGATGGGGAACCAGGAGCCGGGACCGTGGGAGTCTGGGGGGCCGGCGACGGGGAACCAGGAGCCGGGACCGTGGGAGTCTGGGGGGC